CAGAACCGTCGGGGCTTGGATTTGCTGTTTCTCCAGCAAGGGGGGTTATGCGCTGCCATCAACGAAGAGTGCTGCTTTTATGCCGACCATTCGGGGATTGTTAAAGAATCTTTAGCTAAGCTTAGAGAAGGGTTAGAGAAATGTAAGCGAGAGCAAGAGGCCTATGCTGGTTGGCTTGAAAATTAGTTTTCCTGATCCCCATGGCTCACCTCCCTACTGTCCTCATTAGCAGGCCCTCTTGTCATGTTATTATTAATAATCACCCTGGGACCTTATATATTAAGCAAGATAGTCACTATGGTGAAAGGCAACAAAGCTTCCCTCGTCATGCTTGCCCAAGTGGTAGAAGAAGTCACCCAACAGGATCACCCCCCTCCCGATCCATGGGTTTATGTAGCCCTACAAAAAATAAACACCAAGGTGTAAGGCATCCATCACAGCTTCGCTTGGTTGGATAGTCAACTACGGGTAAGACCCTCATGGAGAGGGCAACCTAAATCAGGCACAGCCACATAAGCAGTGATGAGGCCGAATGACTAGCCGTCACCGGCTGCCTACACAAAACAAAACAAAAGGGGGGAGATGTTGGGTGGCAGCTACCTTCCTGGCACAGATGGTTGCTACACCTAATGACGACTGCTTGTTCCCTTCTTTGTTTTTCACACATGTTCAGGATGGCGCCTGGAGGATGTAAAGGGGGAGTGACTATGGTGTCAGGTAAAACCTCACCCCATTTACGGGGCTTAGCATCATTGGTGCAGAGAGCCTTCTGGGCTCGTGGACACTTCATGATCTTTACTATAAGCATAGGCAGGAGCCATGCATGCACGCATGACCTATAGGGTGATTGGCTTGTTAGGTGTAGACCCCCGCCAGAATCCCCCTCCCATTTAGCCCATTTATGCATAAATATGTAGGCTTTGAGTTGAATAAACGGAACTGCTTGACAGAACCCCCACCGTACCTGAGTGTTCCTTTGCGAGCTGGGTTGGGGCCAGTGGCTGCACTTACCTATCTCCTGGGCTCTCCCGCCCCGCTCCCTCTTGCACCGGGAGGAGGAGGCAGGGAGTAATCTTCTGCCTAGTTCCCTTGAGCTGAGTGCGGTTTAGCTAGTTGTCGGGGCGCTGGCGTGAGTGCCGGCTCCCCCTCACCCCGACAGGACTATATGTCCAATAATAGCCAACCAGCTGTCCTTGGGCATTCACATCTCCAGCTGGGTATTGTCTTAATGGAAATTGTCCTGCCCCATAAAGGGGAACAACTGTACAGAAATGGGTGCTCTGTTGGGTCTTTGAGGGGGAACCATTCCATTCCTGAATCATATTGAGGTGAGGCGGTAACTCCAGCAGGTTCCAAATCATCTGGAAAGTTTTGGGAATGAGGTGTTGAAGGCAAAGCTGCTGTGGGAGTAAGCCCTAGGGCTTGTATAGTATTATGATTACCCCATGGATTTGGAGGGTTTAATGCTGTTAGCAAGTTATGCTCCTCATCTTCCTTCTCTTCTGGACAATGGCTAATTGGGAGGGGCTCAATAGCTCCTTCTTTTTCCTTTATTTGGACTACAAGCTGGGAGCCTCCTTGTGCAGAGTCTTTATTATGTAACAACATAAAAGCTTGTGCTTAAGAGATTTCATCCTATATCCTTGACCTCTGACAAAAAGCTCTAATTGGAGTGTAGTATAGTAATTAAGGGAATCATTTAAAGACGAGTGCTCTTTCGAGTCCAAAATATACATGGGCCAAGCAGTATTGTAATTTAAAAAAATAATTTTTCCTTTTGTCATGGGATTATAATTATGACTGAACCACTCAGCTGAAATTCTTTCCAAGGGATTCCAAGCCAGGATTGAAGGTGTTCCACACTTGTGTTATGAGGTGGCAGTGGTGCCAAACCTGAGAATGAGGATCAAGAGTTTGTCTCCAGTTTCCCAATGGAGAGTTGCAATGGTTAGTGGGGACACACATTTCACAAGATTTTACCCAGATATAATTATCTAACCTGATGGTCTGAAATACCTCCCACAGAGTGAGGGGGTATAGGGGTCTCTTCCCAAAAGGATCAGCAATAGCTAGACACCAAGTGCACAAACATTGGTGTAATGTTTCCTGGGTTCTGATGTTTCCCAAATGCCAATTATTGGTTTCTTGAAAATGTGAATCCCACCAATGCTGTCTGCACACGCTTTCGCATGTCTGCACCCTGGAATTGTACTTCCTCCAATAAACAGAGGCCATAAAAGAAATGTTGAAGCACTAGGGGCTGTCCCACACTGTTGTAGCCAATGTAATTCAAGATTCAGGAGCTCAGTGCATGCACTGAGGAGTTGGAATCTAGGTCTGATATTGTAACCAGGACCCATGTCCAAATGAGGTTTATTCCATTGGTTTGCCTCAAAGAGAGAAAGGAGCCTTAATGACTCTGTCAATGACTGAGAGTTTGTAGATTCTCCCTTTTGAATGGTAAAGAACAGGGGTCTGACTGGCAGTCTGCTGGCACTTAACTAAAACAGCAAAATTCTCCCAAAGTGTACTTGCCAGCTCAGGAGTGTAACAGGCTGAACAGAAGTGACTCTGTGTTGTTAAACTTATAAATTAAAAAAGTTTTTGTCTTACTCTTGTAACCTGAACCACAAAGCTTGCAGCTGGACATTAGAATATAATGATTCTTCTTCACATGCTTGCTATGACATAATGACTTTTCCTCACACTGTACACAGAATAATTACAGAAGAAATTATTAACCCAGATGGCCATTCTTTTTTTTTTTTTTTTAAAAGATGACCGGTAAGGGGATCTTAACCCTTGGCTTGGTGTTGTCAGCACCACACTCAGCCAGTGAGCAAACCGGCCATCCCTATATAGGATCCGAACCCGTGGCCTTGGTGTTATCAGCACCGCACTCTACCGAGTGAGCCGCGGGCTGGCCTCAGATGGCCATTCTTTACGAGCTTACTAACTAGATCTTTTTGAGGTTAACAGGAACTGAATCCGTGACTTGACTTCATGAGGATGGTCAGCATGAATCAGCTCCCACCTGAGAAGTTCTTTGATGTTTATCTGCAATTGTATGATTATGCCTGCACATCCCTGCTTAGATCACCATGAATCAGCCCCCCTGCCACCTGTCCCTCTAAAACCCTTTGGCAAGTCTGGGAAAACCAGAGATGGTCTTTGGGACATGAGTCCACCATTTTCCCAGGCTGCCGGCTTCTTGATTAAAAGCTACCTTTCCTTACACCAACATTTGTCTCTCAATTCCTGGCTACTGGGCGGCGAGCAAACGGACCTTTGGGGTTTCAGTAACAGGACAAGCCATATCAGCGTCAATCCGGTGGACCAGCTGCAGCATAACGGTGAGAGGACAGAGAAAAAGCCTGAGTTTTCTTCTCCCAGTAGCTCAAGACAAAGTTAGAATGGTTAGCTAAAGTGACAAACAGAAACAGGCACCTAACAGACTCCCTGTCCTGGGGATCCAGATTACAGTCCTTGAGTCCCTTCTTCCCCAGCCAGTCAGGTCTGTAGATGCCCCAACCAGGTCCAGACAACCCAGAAAGGGTTCAGACGGTGGAGCAGGGTGCTGCTTTCAGCGTGCACGCTGATGCGACTTACTAGTCAGAAAGTCTCATCAGCCTGTCCAGACAGCTCCATTTCTTTCACCAACTGAAAGGAGAAAATGCATGTGGTGCTTTGGCTGGGAGAACAGGGAGTGCCCCCTGAGGAAAAAACCCTCTGGCTGGGAAAGTCCCTAAGATCAAAGCCACAAGGTGAGCTAGCCATAAGCAACCAGCTGGTGTGTCCAAGCTGCCATAAGCCTGTCAGCAGCAGCCGCAGCCAAGGGGGCTAGGCCTCCCGGGTTGCACAAGTGTCCTGCGGCAGTGGTCATATTTAATGCAGACACTTCAAAGGTCTGTTTGCTCAGTGCTAGATGGCCAATAATCGGGAGAGAAGAGTTGGTGTAAGGAAAAAGGTAGCCATTAATCAGGAAGCTGGCAGCCTGGGGAAATGGTGGACTTAGGTTTTAAACACCATCTCTGCCTCTCCCAGGTTTGTTAAAGGTTTTCCTAGGAGTCTGTGGTGGAAACCTGATTTATGGTGACCAAGCATGGACGTGGAGGCACGCCTGGGTATTTCAAATAATCATCAAGGAACTTTCCAGGTGGGAGTTGAATAGCGTCATACTTTGTTCTCCATGGGTTCAGTCCCTTGTAATCTCAGATAAGATCAAGTTAGTAAACTAGTAAAGAATGACCATCTACGTTAAAATTTTTTTCTCTATTTCGTGTACAATGTGAAGAAGAGTCATTGTATTCTGGCAATGAGCTGCAGGATATGTTGTTTGGATTACAGGGAAAAAAAACCCCAAGCTTTTAAATTCAAAGGTTTAACAAAATGGAGTTACTTCTGTTCGGGCTGTTACATTACGTGGTTCAGCAAGCTTTAACGCTGCCATCGGTAACCGTTCTTTGTATTTCCTAAAATAGGGGCTAAAACGTGCCCTGGAATCTTTATTTTTTAATGTGGCTTTTCCAATTACGACAGACTTTCCCGAAGGCTATTCTTGAATGGCCTTTTCTGCTTGACGTACCGCAAAGACACTGTCAGGTTTACAAGACTCGCCTCAGATTGGAGAGTCTTTGAAGCACTGCGGATCCGACTGCAAAGCTAGGTAGCAACCTCGCCGCAGGGCGCTACTCCGGGGCCGCAGCGCGCCTGCGTGTCCGAGCCCCTTGATTGCGCTGGGGTCCGGCTGCGCCTGCGCGGTAGGCCCGCGCGGACCAGTGCGCCGCACCACCGGCTGCGGCTGAGGGCTAGCAGACCGCGAGCCGCCGCCGCCGCTGCGAACGCCTGCGTGTCCGAGCCCCTTGATTGCGCTGGGGTCCGGCTGCGCCTGCGCGGTAGGCCCGCGCGGACCAGTGCGCCGCACCACCGGCTGCGGCTGAGGGCTAGCAGACCGCGAGCCGCCGCCGCCGTTGCGACCGCCGCCGCCGAGTTCAGAGGGCCCGGAGGTGGGAGGCTTCCCCCACGGGGCCTGAGATGTCGTCCACCATGGCGGTTTACCTTCTCTCTACCTTGGGAGGGTACTTGGTGACTTCATTCTTGTTGCTTAAATACCCGACCTTGCTGCACCGGAGAAAGAAGCAGCGATTCCTCAGTAAGCACATCTCTCACCGCGGAGGTGAGAGGGGTCCCCAAAACCTGACCGCGGAGATGGGGGAGGCTTTTTTCCGAGTAGAGCTGAGGGTTTTTTGGAGCTCCTCAGAAAGGCAGCCGGTTGGAAATGCGTGAGAGTTTGAGAAGGATGGGGATGTTTGAATAGAGGGCTCCCCAGAGGTGAGGGCGCTGAGCGGGGGCGGCCTCCTGACGGGAGGGAGGGAGCGCAGTCTCCAGTCAGCCCAGCGGGCGGCTCTCGAGGGCCGCGGATTCACGCGTTCTCTGAAGGGGGGAAGACCACGGTGAGAATGAAGGGTAGATGGAGCGTTTCTCGGCGGATGGGAGGGTGATCGCAAGGTCCCTTGGTGACAGCAAGGCACAATCGGGGCTGCCCCGCGGGGGGAAACGGGAACAGACTGCTCCGAGAGAGCCCGTGGCCGAGCGGATGCTGACAGCCGGGTCCACGAGCAGGGCTGAGGATCTGCTCGAATCCGGAGCGAGCTGCAGCCCGGGTGTCTGCGGTGCCTGGAGGCCGATCCCACCCCCACGTCCCGAGCACTCATTATTGAGAAGAGAGGGAAACCGAGTCCCCGAGCCAGGGACATTTTCCCAAGGTCACAATTACAGCTTGAGCTGAACTGAGGCAGGAACTGGAGCGTCCTGGTTCTTAGGGCTGCAAGTCTTGCACCTGTTTTTCGTTTATTTGTTTGTTTGGGGTTTTTTTTGAGCATCACCCTGCATCCCAGCAATGACACGTTGATTTCCTAAAAGACTGAAAGATGATTTAGGTTATGACAGGACAGTATTGTTTAAAGAAAACAAAAATAAGATTCTTTTGGAAAAGTGACTTGCTGAAAGGAGCCTGGGTAGTCTGTAATTTCCCAGATAACAGGCCAAATCTTTGCGTCTTCATTGTTGTGTAATAATGTCTTTATTGCATTTAAAGCATGATGTATAAAATGTTGTGAAATTGGATTATTTCAATCAAGTTTAACTGTTCTTTAGGGATGAGTTTTTTTTTTTTTTTTTTTTTTAAAGAGGACCGGTAAGGGGATCTCAACCCTCGACTTGGTGTTGTCAGCACCACACTCAGCCAGTGAGCAAACCGGGCATCCCTATATGGGATCCGAACCCGTGGCCTTGGTGTTATCAGCACCGCACTCTCCCGAGTGAGCCACGGGCCGGCCCCTAGGGATGAGTTTTAAACTAGGTTAAAATTGCTTGGAATTTACAGTCAAATACTTGAAATAGTAAATTCTAGGAGTTTACAGTCTAAAATTTGATTTAGTACCATAACCCCTTTTCTACAAGTATTGGCTAAGGAATAAGGTTTTAAATATCACAGAAATCCATTATTATTCTTTACGTATAATCTGTATAATTCTATCAATTAAACACAGTTCTAATAAGTGACTTCAGTAGGTATCCTAGTCTCCCACTCATGAAAACCATTAAAGGTTTTAAAGCGTTGTCAGCTAAAATGCCATGTTATTGCTTATTTGGTTTATCTGTGTTTAGCTGGCCAGAACTCAGCTGGTTAGAGCTGGCGTAATAACACCAAGGTCAAGGGTTTGGATCCCCTTACCCGCTAGCTGTCCCCCACCCCAAATTCTCTTTTATCTGTTTTAACAGATACATGGTTAAACTTTAGGATGACATATCTACTAATGTACTTTCAACCATTGGAACCAAGGACCGACTTTTAGTGTTCAAGTTGTTGCCACAGAAGCAATTTTCATGGTAGTAGTACATTCTGGGGAAGTGAACAGTTGTGTTTACTGATTTACAAAAAGGAAAAATATGCTTACTAAAAACACCAAACCAAAACAAAACTAGAAAAGACCACAAGGTCAAACGTTCAGATTCCCATATTAGCCATCTGCCAAAAAAATAAATAAATAAAAGAAAGAGACCACAGGTCACTAGGAAGGAGTAGTCACCTCCTTGATTGCTTTTAATTTTTGTCTCAAATACTGATAATAGAATCACTAGTTTTTCTGTGAAAATGGTTAATATTTGGGCTTATTTTCTATTGCTCTAACTGCGAATACCTGATATTTCTAGTAAATCAGATGTATGACCATTCCAATATTGACACATCGATCATGCTGTGTGTCTGAAATATGTGCACCTGAATTGGTATAACTTGAAACTCTTAATGTCTACTACAAAATAATTATGATAAAGATTTAAATCACCAGAGTCAGATTCTGTATCTACCAGTAGTTAGCTTTGGGATTAAGCCTTAGTTTCCTTATGTAAAAAATGGGGAACATTTGCTTTGCTTACCTCTTTGATCTTCATTCTTTTTTTTTTTTGTTGTTGTTGTCCTTTTTGTGACCGGTAAGGGGATCGCGACCCTTGGTGCGGTGTCGCCCGCACCGCGCTCACTGGCTGAGCGCACCGGCCATCCTTATATAGGATCCGAACCCGCGGGGAGCGCTGCTGCTCCCAAGCACTGCACTCTCCCGAGTGCGCCACAGGTCCGGCCCATTGCTTACCTCTTTGGATTGTTATGACAATTGAGTGCATAAAAAGCACTTTGAAAACGGAAATTGTTTAGAAATATGTGTGGATACAGGAGATCCACAGTTGTATTTTGCAATAAAACTTTGAGTTCATTAAGAAGGAATGAGATCATTGTATACATGTTTTCAAAATTTTAATTAGCACTTTTGCCTTTTACTAAGATTGATTGTCCTTGAAAGTAGAAAATACTTTAATGTTTCAAAAATTAAACTTTACAAAATTTGTTTTTACCAAAATGTAGGCTTTGTTGTTACCAAAATGTAGGCTTTGTTGTTACCAGAATGTAGGCTTTGTTGTTACCTCTTTAGAGCATATGTTTTATTGCATTAAATTATAATAGGATCTGTTACTACATCTGCTTTCCTTTCTAGGCTGTGAGTTCCTCAAGGGCAGGAATCAGATTTATTAATTCTTGTATCTCTAGCCCCTAGTACAAATCTCAACATATAATAAAAATAATAGCTAATTGTCTGCTAATTATCTACTGTATGTTAGACACTTTTCATGTGTTTCCTAAATTTATTTGACCAAAGAACACTTTTTATAATTACAATGTAAAAAAACCCACCAAATTTTAAAAAAGCAAAAGAAGAAAGAAAAGAAAAAAAAAAAGAGCAAAAAAATACATAATTCAATGTATGACACCAGCAGGACTAAAGACATACCCTTTGGATTAAATGGAGAGCAAGCAATATTGTTAAAGACCATTTTCTTAATTATTGTATGAAATTATGAATTTTATTAATATTTTAAAGATTCATTTTTTCTGGTTGCATAAGTAACTCATGTTCATTGTAGTAAATTTGGAAAACATAAAAATGAAAAAAGAAAAAATAGTTCCTAAGACTTTACTATCCTGAGATAAACTGTTAACATTTTGAAGTATACCCTCTAAGGACATTTGGAATCATACTATATATACATTTATTCCAGATGCCCTTTGTTTGCTAGAAAAATAGGATAGCAGGGAAATAACTTCCTTTAATCCTCTCTAACCTATCTCTATGGGCCAATTGAATTAAGCTGTAGGCTTTTTAGAAAGAGTTTTGTTTAGGGCCAGCCTGGTGGCGCACTGCTGTAGTGCGCCGCTTGGGAAGCGCGGTGGCGCTCCCGCCGAGGGTTCGGATCCCACATACAGACCGGTTCCTGCTCACTGGGTGAGCGAGGCGTGGGAGCAACACTGAGGGTTGCGATCCCGTTGCTGGTCCTGGTCCGGTACGGGGGCGACACTGAGGGTTGTGATCCGTTGCCGGACACAGAAAAAGACAAAAAGGGGAAAAAAAAAAAAAAAAAGAAAGAGTTTTGTTTATTAGGGCTCAGTGGCCAAGAATAAAGAAGTATCATCAACTCATCACATCCCCACCTTTTCTCTACCCTTGGTCTCAAGGCAGGGTACTGTCACTATCTTGGCATCCTACCACAGATGGATCTGGCAGGTGATAGTTTGAGGTTTAGTATTGTTCTTTGACACTGTTTGGCAGTTTCTGGGCCCTAAACTTTAATTGGTTGTTCAAGGAGAAAATTGAAGCATCAATTTTCCCAAATTGTCACTGGAAATAGAATTCTGCAATTGTACCTGAAATATGTTCCATGTCAGGGTATTGATTCTCTTCAGCTTTTGTTCCTTCATTCCTATTATTGGGGAACTCTCCCTCATTTGTCAATGAGGACTTTTTTCCAACTGGTTTGCTCATTCCTACTGATGGCTTATTAGCAATGGAATAATTTTCTTTTATTTAATAGTACTGTCTTGCTTAATAAAGTGTCAACCTAAATAACAGAATAGGCTCTCTAAAAGAATAATGAGTTTAATGGGGAATAGAACATTGCAATAGTAATATGTGTGTCATGGTAAACTGTGTGTATATTCAGGGAGGTAAGGGAAGACAAAGGTTTTTAAAGGAAAAATAATGAAGGATTACATAGTTATTTCAGGATAATTATCCTTGGCCACAAGGAACAGTAACAAGGGTGACACCAGTCTGAGGCTGGACAGGCAATTGCTGGGCAGATGTCCTTACAGAAGTAATTTTTTGGTAATTTCTGGGAATACCTTTGTGCGAGGTTGTGGTTTTGCAGATTCCTTTGTGATAGTTCTTGTTATCAGGTATATGTGCATAGCAGCGCCTCTTTGTGGCCTTCCCCAGCTCTGTTTGTCAGGGTTTTAAACATGTTACTCCGTTTTGTTTTGACAACTTTCACAAAAGCAAACTTTAAAGTAAAATGTACTTATTTTCAGCAATGGATATGTGTGTATGGAGATATATATATATGTATCATATGTATATTTATATATATATAAATAGATAGCTATAATCTCCATTGAAATATATATATACCTTAAACTTTCTAACTCTATATAAATTTATAAAAATTAAATACTGTTCTGTAAAAATTATTGAAATTATGACAAAACACATTAAGAAAACATTAATCTTTGAAGAGAGCATACATGTGTTAGTTGGTAAGTGCTACCTGTGAATCAACACATAGTTT